TTCTCTCTACAGTGATCTTCTGCACAAAATTTTTTTGAGAAAGTTGCAAAAAGTAGTTCAGAGAAGGGCCATCCAGTTGTCCCTAATTGTAACATCTTATGTAACTTCAGTACAGTAGCAAATGCAGGGAGTTTGAATTGGTACAACCTATAGATCTAGGCCAGGGATGTAGCTCAGCGGCGCAGTGCCTGCCTGATGAGCACAAGGCCCTGAGTTCGATTAATGGAAACAAAACAAAACAATAAAACCCTATAGATCTTATTCAGATTTCATCAGTTTTATAAAATGCCATGGTTTAAATATCTCCTGTCAAATGCATATTGAAATTTAATAGCTACCCTGATGGTACTAGGAGGTTAAAAACCCTTAAGAGGTGATTGAGATCATGAGAGCTCTGCCTTCATGAAGAGAGTAGGAGTGGGTTAATTATCGTGAGAGTGTCTTTCCTTGGCCGTTGCCACATGATGCTGTCCACTGTTAGGACACAACTAGAAGCCCTCCCCAGGTGCAGGCACCTTGATATTGGACTTCCTGTCTTCCAGAATTGTGAGAAATATGTTTCTTTTCTTTTCTTTTGTAATGACTAAGACTGCAATATTTTTATCTGAACAGCAGAAAATAGAACAAGACATACTCATATATAAGTTGAGTATCCTTTGTCTAAAATGCTTGGGACCAGACGTGTTTTGGATTTTGAACTTTTTGGATTTTGGAATATTTGCATATACTTAATAAAATGGGATAGGATTCAAGGCTACAGAATTCATTTATGTTTCATATGTAACTTATGGACATGGTTTTAATGGTAATTTTCTGCAATATTTTTAATATGATTGCATTTTAACTGTAATCCATCAAATATGATCAAGTATGGAATTTTCTGCTTGTGTCATGTTGCTAAAAGTTTTGGAGCATTTGGAATTTCTGATTTTTGATTAAGATTATTCATCCTGCTCAGTTTTATAACACGTGGATTCATGTTATTACAGTCACAGTCAAGATAAAGAACTGTTTTATCAGAAAGATCAAACCTGCTCTCTGTTTCATTAGTTTATACTTGAATCACTCTTTATGTTATGTGACCTTGGGATTAATTGAAAAAAAAGTATTGAGGGGCCAGGGATGTACCTCAGTGGTGTGCCACGCCTGCCTGGAAAGCGCAAAGTGTTGAGTTCTGTCCCTAGTACTTAAAAAAGAAAAAAGAAAAAGAATGAGATGTTTTAAGAGTTGTCTATTTTCTTTTTTCTTAATTGAGTTTATTGGTACATTTTAGGTATACAGTACAGTTACATTCATCATTGGGATCTTGTACTTGTACCTTTACATGACAGGTCTTGATTCTCATTTTTCCCTTTGTCCCTGCCCTCCTTTCTTCCCCTCCTTCCCTCCCCATTTGCAAACACTTTATTTCCATCTTTTCATTTTCTCACATTTTTTCTTTTAAGGAGTTGTCTATTTTCATTTTTTCCACACATTGTTATGTAACCATTTACAATAAGTCTGAACCATTAGAAATTTCAGACTTTCGTAGTCACATGATTGAGCATCTTCCCCCATGTAACTCTCCCAAAACTGACATTACAACAACTCTTGACATTGAATTTTCTCAGTAATTAGGACATACATATTTATTTTTGCTACCTAATATACTTTGCTGTTAAATTTCCTTATATGTTAACTTTTGCTAGATTGTACTACAGTAAGAAACAATACCAGTAGCTCACAGTAAGAAAGGTTTATTTGTTGCCTACACTATAGAGTCCCAAGGAGTAAGCTGTGGTCCTACTGCAGTTCTTTTTATTTTAGGGTGTAAAGCTGGAGTGTCAGTCTCTCTTTGTGACAGTGTTCTGCTGACAGAGAAAACGGAGTAAGAGCTGGCAAAAACAAATAGTAGCTGTTAAAATTCTTCCTTATTAGTCAAAGTAAGTCATATGGCCAAGCCTCACACTGGAGCAATACATGTTACCTTCATTCAGACTATGTGGTAAGTATCATTTGACTGCTTAGAGGAAAATTTTTGTACATCTATGAATATTTAACCCATCACAACTGATTATGGATAAAATTTCTTTGAAATTATAACAGAATTTTAAAAGATCACTTGACTTTGGTAACTATAATTTGTTTCCTTTGGGAAATTTAGTTGCTAAAAGATCATATGCAATCATCCATAAAAGTTTATATGTTTTATACTGTCAAATTTTTGAATTTTTGTTTTCCCTATATTGAAAATAACTGTTTCATTATCATAAGTAGAACATGCTTATCATAAAATGTTTTCAGACATGTAGAGTAAGACAAAAATGTAAAAAGATTTATAATCTCATTATCCAGAGATAATCACTGTGATCATTTTTGCAAATATTTTTTCATTATTTGTGATTTTTCTTTAAATCTAAAAAGTAATCCTATTTATAGTCCAGCAACAACAACAAAAGTCAGTTTTACTGAGACACATCAAAAATACCCTTGGCCATCTTGCTTGATAAATGACTTGGTGATTTGGATGACTTTTTCCATCCATTCTTAGCTGTATCGCTCTAGTTTAGTTACTAGCAGAGTATACCTTAGAACACTTTAGTAAACTGATAGCATCTCATATATGTCTTTATGCAATAACCAATGAATCCGTATGTGATGTGATGAATAAAGTACCGTTTGGAACCCAGAATTTGTTAATAGGTATGAATTTTTTCCCAGGTACTAAAAATTCAATTGAAATTAACTCTTTATTATGGAGGAAACCTTTTATTTGCTTTCTCTAGTAAGGTACTTATATCCTTGTCTGTAAGTAGATTACTTTGTAATTTTATATTCAAACTGAAGCATTTTTAGAATGGAAAGAATACTATAAATATTTTAAATTGTATGCTTTTTTTTTCAGTACTGGGAATTGAACCTAGGGCCTTTACACTGAGCTACATCCTCAGCCCTTTAAAAATTTGAGACAGGATCTTACAAGTCACTAAATCACCCAGGCTGGGCTCAAACTTGGGATCTTTTTGTTTCAGCCTTGCAGAGTGTGGGTATTGGGTATTCACCACCATGCCCAGCTATATACACTTTTGGGAATATATTTATTTTTGACTACTGATGTGGTTTGTTTTATTGATAGGTCAATAAAATAGTTCTGTTCAAATTTTGTTTTCAAAATTAAATTTACTAAATTTTTTTTCTAAAACTTTTTATATGATACAAAAATCTTTTAA